CATGGTAGATAAAAACTCGTATCATCCTAAGCACACACATAACTGTGTGTGCCACAAGTCTTCCTTTTCTTGCTGGTCTCTAAATCATTGGCATCGATGTTGTGTACTCTCGAGCCATTGTTTAATGTCTTTATTTCCTCTTCATCTTGGTTACTGTTTTATCTGTATGCTGTCTTACTAATGATTCACTCTGAGCAATCAATCACTTAATCTAACAAATTTCAAACAAGCAATGAAGCTATTTTATCCAGAATTTTTGAGGTCCCCTCCCAGCAGTATTGCAGGTGTAGGTAGTGCACGTGTGTGGAGAGATGTATCTTTTTGAGACATTAGTTTGTTAATGCTAGAAATGTCTTCAGGTTACAGGAGTATGTTCAGGTTGTTTGGATAATGGCTGTGAGCTTTCAGGGTCTGTAAGAGGAAAAGTGGTAGATTACTTGACACAGAGCTGCTTGGAAAGTATCCAGTAAAAACTTGAACCTTTTCCAGGAAGATAGGCTTTGAATGTGCTGACTATAACAAGAGAGCATTAGAAGCTAATTTGTTAGTGGGTTTATTATCACATTTTACTTAAAATTTGATCTCTTAAGATGTGTTGGGAAAAGAATTAAGCTAAGCATCAATATTTAGAAATGCAGTTGTAAAAATTAGTGATACTCAGATAAGAACCTTTTGCAAAGCCTTTTTACCCAGTTGTTTAGATGTGGCTTTGGAGTTATTTTACTCGTTACTACAGACTGCCTAGAAGAACATACCAAAAATTAAAAAAAAAAAACAAACCAACCAACAGATTTGTAGCAAACAGATATTATATTTATTTGACATGTGTTAATATGTCTTGAAAGTTTTACTTTAGTTTTTAGTATTGAGATGGTTTAAATGACCATCTTCCTAAACTTATTACCAAAAAGAATGCAGTCTTCTTTTTTGGCTTCCTTCTGATTGCTGGGCTTACCCTTGCTCTTACATTTTTGTGTGCTGGATATTTCTTAAAAACATTGCAATCTATTTTGCAATTCTGTAGGGCATATTTCTTGGTAGCTAACTGTTGCTGGTTTTATTTTTAAATAGTTCTGGAAAATTTATAGCATAATAAAGGCTGGTGTACTGCCTTTGCAAGTTTTCACCTATTAATGCATTGATGCTGAAAATGTATGCTTGGCTTCATGCATACTGTAGTCAACTGTGATGAGATTATCTAAAGTTAACCACATGCTAAGAGTTCATAAATAACATGACTAAGGATAACAAATTAAGGAGAAGATGGAGGAGTGGGAAGTGAAAGCATTACAGCAACATCAAAAAAATTACGTGGTTGCTCAGTTGGCTCATTTTCAGGCTTTCCTTGCAAGTTTTTAAATTGTGTCAGATTTTATGATCTAAATTCATGGTATAGACAGAAATGAATGTAAACTTTCTTCCATGGTGGAATATTTCTGTCTGGAGAGAATATCTGTCAGTTGTCTTACTCCTCCATATCTTTGCCATTTTGATGACTAGAGAAGAGCAACTTTTTTTACCACTTTGTAGCACTGACCTGATGCCCCGTGGGTTAAGGAATTGCCCGTGTTTTTGTAACTTTCCCTGTCACCAAGCAGCTGTGTACCAGCCACCTGGGAAGCTGACAGTGTTCACCAGTGACACCCGTGGGCAGTGGAAAAGCAAAACCAAGCTGTGAATGTTGTGCGCATTTGAATACAGTAATAGTTTTCAAAAGTCTGGAAATGGCAATTAGAGATGCAGTCATTTTGTCTTTACCTTCTTGAGTATGCCTGTTAGCAAACCGCTTAATTATGCGATCATACGCTTTCTGTCCTTTTGCAATTTTATATTCTGAAAGCGAAGGCCTGCCCAGTGTTTCACTTGAATTCTTGTCATTTTTGTTTTTCGGACCAGTGCCTCACTTTTGCTGTACAGTGTCGCTCATAGTGTTGGAGGAGCTCATAGTCCTTTCCTGTACCAATGCAGTCCTAGTCCACAACCCTCCTGTTGTTGACCTTTTAGTCCCACTCCAGTCTAACAACACACGCAATGTTATCTGTGTCTGTGTGGCATGGGCATGCAGGGTTATACTGGAATTTTGGCTGTTAGATTTATTTAACAGTCTGATTTTCATAGCAAAGTGTTTTCTTTGTGCCATTACCACGTGACTCAATTGCACCAAATTTCTGCTGTATCCATGAACGACACTTTTGTGACTGAGGGGGCATGTTCTTCCCAGATTTCACATCCCCATAGTTTTCCATGGAAGAGCTTGGTCTCTTCACAAAAGTTCTCTGCGGCAGGAAGGATGTGGGTTTGGGTGTTTTTTCTGATCTTTTTGGTTATTTTCAGAGGTGTCTGCAATTCAACTTGCAATGAAAATGCATTGTTTCTTGGCCAAGAGGGACTGGGCAGCCATGCTGTTCTGGGTGATCTCAAGCCACTAGGCACTGAGGTGTCATTACGCATACTACTCTTAATGCCCATGTTACGCCTGGGAGGTATTAACGATGTTTGGTACACACTAGTGGTCCCTTCAAACCCTAAAGCACCTATGAGTCTATGATTCTATGATTCTTAATGCCCATGTTACGCCTGGGAGGTATTAACGATGTTTGGTACATCAAAGGTACCGTCTGTGCTGCTGTCTTGCTGAGCTATGTAGGTAGGTTCCCAACAAAGAGCAGTAAAAAAGGGGATTTCGCGCAGTTTTCTTCAAGTTCTTCTGCAACCATCCTGTATCCATAGAGGAGATCATATAATGCAAATTGGGTAGGTCAGTGGGCAGATCTGTATGGATTGTACAGTACAGTGCAATGGGTGTCCTTCAGCAGTTATACTTTGGTCAACAGTGAAATAGTTAACAAGGGGAAAACTCTGTCAGCTGTTGATATCCTCAGGCCTTTGCTTCAAGCTGATACTGTAATCAGTATCAAAGTCGCTGGCAGATTCAGGCAGCTGTCTTCTTGCACTGGTTCATAGCACGTTCTCGAACAGGAATGGGAAATTCCTTGTTCAAAATGAGACTCCAGAACACAGGTTATTTTGTCCATTCCTTTTCTTTCTCTCACTCTCCTCCTTCCTCACCAAATCCGGCATGCCAGATTGTTCCCGTGCTGTAAGGCAGCCCCATTCAGACCCTGAAGCTAAACAATACACTGTTGGCTCTTGCTTCATTTTGCTGTAGTTAATTTAAAGTTCTGAGAAATGAAGCATCCTTCCGTAAGACCATCAAGCAAGCAAAATGTGTTTGATGCTTTATACAAGTCAGAGCGCCTGCTGGAATGACATGGATTTACAAGCAGGGAAAGCCTTCCCTATTCCATCTGGAAGAATTTGCTTTCTGTTTTTCCTTTTTTTGTGCTTTCCACCAACATACACTCTCCTTACACACTTTCCTTTTGGATAGTTCTCCTTCTTTCCCTGGCACTGATCCAGGTCGGTTGACATGGGTGTCCCACTGCCAGTCTGATTCCACTGCCTGGGTTGTATTTCCAAAAGTAAGAGAAAGATCTGTGCTTTTGCAGGGGGGTGTTGAGGGTGCAGTGTGCTGCATGAGTTACATAGCATGCTGTATGTGACTCGCAGCCTTTTGCTTTTGGCTCACCCCAAAAGTCTTTAGCTTTCAGCTCATCTTATGTAAAGATTCATGCTAGGGAGGGGAGGGGAAAAAATCAAGTGAACAAGCATATTGTCTCTTGATTGATTAAAGAGCTGGATTGCGAGGTGGGAAGCAAATTTAGATTCAAGTGAAAAACAAATAAAAGGACTTGAAGCTTCGCAATTAGGAATTTAAAATTGAATGCTTTTATGCAAAGCGAGTTAAGTTTTTATTTCTTCTTCTTCCAGAGTCCCTCATGCAGATGTGGAGGGGGGAGAGAGCGATCCTAGAGGACTTTTGATTTGATTTACCCTGAGTCCTGAGCAGTGACTGCTTGAAAACAAAAAGAATATTTTAGAGCTAATCTAGTTACTGTACGATCAGAAATTAGTCGGTTACTGAGCAAGCCTTAAACCTGAACATATCTCTCTTGGGATATATTTAACATAACTTTTTCACCTGTTTGGGTTTGGTTTGGTTCCCCCCCCCCGCCCTCCCCTTCCTTTTCAGTAGCAACAAACAAACAATCTACCCCACAGTGGTTAGTATAGCACAGAGCTTGATGCAGCCCTGGTTGAGGTCAAGCACTCCAATTCGAACCTCTCAAGGGCTTTCTCTATGTGTTGCCAGTGTACTGGTAAAAATGACTTTAAACTCTTGTCAGTGCAGTTACTGGTGCATGCATCACAGTCCCACTCAAATAAACCTGTCACAACACAGAGTCAGCAGCTAGAGAAGAGTACAAGGGCAGGCCTCTAGCTTTTCATTCGAGCATCACTAAACGTGCACAGAGTGCCCAATTATTTCAGCATTATTGAGCAAGCCTACAGGAGGACCCAAGCCTTGCTACATTAGATTTTCTTTAGTAATTTGCTCAAGTACCGCTGAGGACACTTAAAGGGCTTAAAACGGTGGCTGCAACCAGTTTCCTTTTCTGGATTGTTAATTCAGGTTTTCTCTTTCAAATTAACTCTCACTGCATGCTGTGCAGTAGCGCTGGGAGAACTGTTTAACACTAATTTTCTCAATTTTCAGCTTTTTTTTTTTTTTCTGCATTATATAACTGCTTTTATAGTTACATATATTTTGATTAGACGTGTACATGGTGTGTTTCTGCTAGAAAGAGTAAAATGTAATACCTCTGTCAGAGAAATAAAAACTACATCAAAACTGTAAAATTCCTTTCCTTTATTCTTTTTTAATTTTTTGTTGTTCTTTTAATTCAGCCTGAAGTTTACAGATGGTGTTGTTCCCCAACGTAAGGACATTTTTAAAACGCCAGGATGTTTGTGAGAGTTGATATGTGGATTGATCAGATGCATTGGTTGATCTGATCAATCACGTTTGATGTACAGGATCAATGGGACAACCCCTGGCTCCCCGAACAAATTCAATATCTGTGTTTCGTTTTTCACAGCAGCAACAACTCCAGGCCCAGCATTTGTCACATGGACATGGTCTTCCCGTGCCGCTCACTCCGCACCCCTCGGGCTTGCAGCCTCCAGCCATCCCCCCCATTGGCAGCAGTGCTGGTCTCCTGGCACTGTCCAGTGCGCTGGGGGGGCAGTCCCATCTCCCAATTAAAGATGAGAAGAAACACCACGATAACGATCACCAAAGAGGTAGGCTCTGCCAGATGAGTGTGTGGCTTCATTTGTTTCTCTTTTCTTATTTCTTCTTTTTTTTTTTTTTTTTTTTTTTTTTTTTTTTTTTTAGACTCTTCTTTTAAAAAAAAAAAAAAAAAAAGGAATTTTCACAAGAATTGCTAGCTAATTGCTTCAGCATTTATTACCCAGCAGTTGCCAAAAATTGTGTTCAAATGCCAGAAATCCGGTTTTATAAATCTGGCTCTACAGTATTAATAATTAACGGCACAGAAAAGTTAACATCTGTGCAATTTATTATTTAACAGACATCAGGATTCTTTCTTCCGAGTATGATAAATGTATAATTTTATGTAAACTAACTAGTACTTTTCTCTTTCTCTCTCCCTCCACCTCCCCAACCCCTGCTGCCGCCTCCTCCCCTCCTCGCGCACGGGGGCTGCTCTGCATGCAGACAGAGACTCCATCAAGGTAGGTCTCCCCGTTTCGTAGGTGTAAGGGGTGGCTCGAAAGAGCCACGCCCTGCGTTTTTCTGAAGTATGGCCCAAAGCGGCAGAAAAAGTCACAAAGTTGAAACCAGGCTGGGCCGCTGGTGTTCATTAGCAGGGCCCTGCATAGGCTGGGTACCACACGTAGGAGGCGGCTGGTAGCGGGACAGCTAAGGTCGCAGGCGATGGATGCGCCGTAGAAAAGGGTTGCCCGGGGTCTCTGCACAAGCTTGTGAGACAGAAAGAATTAGCCAGTAGTTTTAAGTCATTTGGAGGCTGCTAACTGTCATTCTCATTATGTCCTAATAATGTGGTTAGGGAAGGAGAGCTCCATCTCGCACAGCGGGGAGGTGGGGTGCTGCCCGCTGTCCTTGCCCCAGAGTGGTTGGAGAGGAGCGAGCTGCCGTTCCCTACCCCAGCAAAGGTGGTGCTCACACCAAGGATCCCGTCTTCCTTTTCCAAACATTAATTTTCAGGCTCTGAGTGCCTCTGCAGCATACGTGTGTGCCCTATCCTGTGCATGGTAGTGTTTTATAAGTAGGTGTAATACACGCCTTGCTGCTGAATTCTGAGCATTCAGTGGTGCGTACGACTGTGGTTCAGCGGATGCTTGGCCATACCTGGTAGCTGCCAGAGTCTCTCAGAGGCTCCAGAGGTTGTAATGCTGCAAGCGGGGAGGTGCATCTTGGCCCTGCCCTCCCCTGGATCCCACTGCTCTCCTCGCTGCTGCTGGCGGTTTTTACCAACTTGCAGCAGACCCAGGTGTTGCCAGCTATGCGGTTACCTGCCCAGCTCTGGGTAGCTGGATGTAGTTACAGAGTAGAGCCTGAGTGGCTTGCACAATTTTCAGGAGCATGGGATTAAGCCTTTTTGTAGGTGATGGTGAGTGTGAAATGCAAGAGGTCTCTTACAAAGGGCAAGACCTACACCCACCTTACTGAGCACTTGCAACCCGTCTGTCAAGTTCTGAGTGGTGCTTTTTTTAGGAAGATGTAATTTATTCTTGGGTTTTGGCCAAATGGCAGAAGAGGTGTTCCCAGCACGTGTCTCGGGTGCATTAGATGAGATTACCAGGAGCTGGCCAGGCAGATGTTATTGATGTGCCCCTGATGGTGCTGGGAGGAGCACGGTGCCGGGCACAGGCTTTGCCCCCAACAGAGCCCCGTCTGGCCGGGGCTGCTGTGCGAGGAGCTATGCCTTTGCTTTCCTGGCAGCTCCCTGCGAGGATGTGTCCCACAGCCTTCCCCAGCGCACCCATTCTGCCACTGGCAACTCTGCCACGTCCCAGCCGAGTGCAACTGAGCCGATGGTTGTCAGTTTTGCTGTTACCCACATGGCCCTGCATAACAACCAGGAGCTGACAGGAACTGTCAGTTTTTCCTGCGAGCAGCAGAGGCACTGAAGCTGTCTATCTGCCGACACAGGACAACAGCGTGTTGGATTTCACTTCAGCTTCCTTGTCATGATGGCTGGAGACTGGGATTATTGCTTTACGCAGCGAGCCTGTGTGCAAGGTTAATGATGATTTCCCCAGAACACCCCCTGTTCACTGTGAACAGATAGGCTTAGTCCATTTTCTTTCTTCCTGCACCCAAACAAACAAGAAGGGCAGATACCTAAGAGTGTGAAAACAAACCCTCCTCGTTCCTTCCGCAAGTCTGCGTACCTGTACAGTTGGAACCACGAGTGTTTCACTCAAGAAAGTGAATGAGGAGAACCGCTCGTATATGCTCACCACTGTTTTTAAACAAAACAGGCTAGTCGTGTTTCTGTGATGTCTGTGGGATGTTGGGGTGTTTATGCTGGCATGGGTGTTACAGGGAGTGTTTATACCAGAAAGGCTGATTTTTGTCTGGGAATGATTCAAAGGCACTGTTATTCATGCAGCTTGGAGAGGGAGAGGGGGGCGTCGCTACTTGGTGCCAATTTACTTTGAAATGATAAGTAGATGTTTGTCTTGCACGGTGTTCAGGTTGTGAGCTGGCTTGCATGTCAGCATTACGGGGCTTGCTGCCAGCTTTGCAAGGTGAAATAGTTTGCTAATTTCCTTAAATGTTTTCAGTGATGCCCAGAGTAGCAGTTAGTTGCTTGTTCGATCGATCTGTCCTCCCTTAAGTGGCTCCTGGTTAAGAGAGGCTTTTTATGATTGTCTGCTGTGTGACTTGAGATGGTATTTGTCAGCCAGAACGTGCCAGTTGCCAGCAGCTGGAGTCTGTGAGCTTGTATGAAATAATTTATTCATGCAGGATAATGCTCCTTAACATTTAACAGGTAATGAACGTGACATAAATTTCCTTCTTGCTTTTAATTTTTCCCTTTCCTCTTCTAATGTGCAAACAGGCAGCTCTGGTACTCTAAATAGTAAGTAATTTTTGGCCATCTGTCAAAAGGAAATTTCAATACAAATTTAAATTAATGGTGCCTGAAATTTTTTATAGCTCCTCTAAAAGCCTCTAATGTGCAGAAAATTCTGAATCTGCTGGTAGTAATTAGTGTAGCATGTAATGAGGATATGGGCGATGTTATACAGCCCCAGTGTAACATTTTGATATGGTAGCAAAATTTTGATTTATACAAGGTTGTGCCTGGCTTTAATTGTGAGAGACACTTTAAAGTGTTTTCTTGCTGATACAGATTATTAAGCAGGGCAGATTTTAGAATAGCTCATAAAGTGTAAATTTACGCATTAGTGTACGGTTCAGATAAGGAAGGTAACCTACCCATTTCTACAAAAAAAGGAGTTTGGCTGAAGCGTCCCGTTTTTTTATCGCCGCTTCCAGCGCTTCGGATTTGCTGGACAGTTGTCTTCGTGAAACTTTCTGTCCCTAGCTGCGCTGAGCCTGACCCTCCTCCCTGGTTCAGCCCAAGGAAAAGGTAGTTTGCATCACTCTTCTAAACATGACGTTTTCTTGCCTGGTAAGCCAGACCAGGCTTCTCGCATCCTTCCCAGCACCTCCCTGGAGCGAGCACTTCGCTTCCCAGATAACACGAGATTGCCCAGGAGCTATTCCTAAACAGTAGATCAGCATCAGCACAGCAAGCTCCGTGCAGAAGGGCGGCTTTGGGAGCTCTTTGATTTCGTCTTGGATTCAGTCCTCCGAATCCTTTGCAAAGTTTGAAGTGTGGGAAAACTCTAGAGGCGGTAAACTGGGTCAGGGGAGCGCTCTTTGTGCAGCGGCGAGGCTGCGGAGGGGACAAAGGGGAGGGAAGGGTGGCAAGCGCCAGGGCTGTGCTCAAAGTGCAGCCGTGGCTTAAGGGCTCTGAGGGAATATAATGTGTTTAGACAGAAAGACAAACAAACAGCTCTGTAGTTAACCGAGCAGCTTTTCACAGAAGACTCTGTGTCCCCTATTCAATGCAGTAAAACTTCTTTTTAAAAAAAAAAAAAAAAAAAAAAA